AGCACATGCAAGAGAGGTATTTTTGTCCCTTGGAGTGACTCTGAATGACTCAAAGAATGCAATTGCCTTTTCGGCAGCTGGACTACAGGGTTTGATATCAGGTAAGCACGTGTACTATTCTGCACTTGCCCCTGTCATTCTGCATGCATGAACATTAATTTTCATAACATAGCAAAAGTAGAGCGCGCGCTCTGATTGATCGGTAAGTCATTTACCAGTGGTCCATTGGTGCATGCCAACGAAAAGCTAGCTCGGTAAAATTGAGGCAAATTGAACAGATCTTCTCAGTCTGTTGCGACTAGGTCAAAAATGCACCGATAAAACATACAAATGGAAAGTATAACTTGAAAAGATAATTTGTTGTCGCTTTGAGGGAAAGTGAAAAGATCAAGCGACAAATTTGCCCAGGAGGATTTCATCCTTATTTATTTTGGGGCGGAGAGCTCATTAGAATACCAGAGTGAGCGAAGTTTTTAAAGGATTTACACCCGGTATTTGAGGTACATTTCGTACGTTATCCTAGAGAAAATTACGTTTGGAAATGGGAATGCATCCATTAGAATTTTTATTGACTTTTCAGTCAAGTTGATGTTAAGTTCACGCAATTATTTTAGGAAACGCGAGTAGTATGGTAGGGACCGAATTATCCGTTAGTTTGAAGTGGAATAAATTAACGCCGATGACGTCATAATCTTTTGTCTTTATCTCATGAGTAAAATGCGTAGGAATCTGATAAAGGTAAGGTCGTGTGCTATTTTTAGTTGGTTTAGGTTTTCTAGTTACTTTAAGGTGTTTCGATATAGTTTTTCAGAGGCCATACCTCTGAAATGCCATTAATTTTTCCAAATTTATGCGGACAATACGTATATCCATGACTAGTACATTTCAGTGTGTGTATTGTCAATGTTTTACATTCAAAAGATGCGAAAAATTCAAACTAAAATGTACTAGTCATGAAGGTATATATGTATAGTGTGCATTAATTTGGAAAAGTAGCATAACTTCAAAACAGTAAATGCTGTAACGCAGATTTTTGAAAGGTTTAATATGTTGCAGTGAATCAGTCTCAATGAAAGTTTCAGACCTTATTATATACATTATGAAGATTATGTGAAGAGATTTTTAAAAAATTCGTTCCAGTCGTTTCAGAGGTATACAAAAAAGAGCAAAAAGTCGACATTTTGAACGGAAGTTGCACTTAGACAGGTGGTGAGAAAACGGGTTAGTTTTCAAGATAGCAGAAAGAAAATACATCAGAATTTTCTAGCATCAAAGCATTGTGACGCTACTTAAGAATAATTTGAGTCATTTATAACCTTTTTATTAAATAATCTGTCATGGCTATTGAAAATTAAAGGCTTTAAGTATATTTTCGTTTTAGTCGAATTCAAACATACAGACCTTTTTACTTCTTACGGAGATTGTTTCCTAAACACCAAACTTTAAGTTCCTAGTGTTAGATTTTCAGTAGCTGGTCTAGATCACGCAAAATTCGGCTTTTATCAATTTCAAAGTCTGTTGTTTATTGTTGTCATAGTAATATCGACTTTACTTAAAACTACATTTTCACAAATTTCAATCCATAATCAATTACTGGTGAAACTTTCATAGCGGACAAGGAAAAGGAAGGAAAAAACCACTTTTAAGGCGAAAAACTGTATCGAAACACCTTAAGGTCGATAAACGTCTTCGTTTTCGATTTGTTAGTTAGAAGATAAGAAAATTTTTCATTGGTTAATTCATGGTGTCTGAGGAGTAAAGTCAAACTTGTCTGTGACTTAAAATCGCTGGGACGTAACGTAATCATGCAAGTCCTATTTCTTGGTGCTGTGATTGTCCTAGTTCCGGTTCACTGATTTTTGGCGGGAAAATCGTGCATATTAATGAGAGCAAAGGCAAACTAGCGCTTTTTATCACGAAAGACATTGTTTTACTTACCCCACACCCCTCCTACTCCTCCGCAATTGATTTATTTCCCTTTTTGATTTTACTTTTTATTTTTAATTTCCATCCACGACCACATCTACCGCACATCGACCCCACATCGACCCTACATGGACCCCACACTGACCCTTCCCTCAACTTTTTTTCCCACCACCAAATTTCAACTGTTTTCCTCCGCCAGCACCACTACGTTTTTTTAATGTTTCCCTCCACCACCACCACCATTGCCACATTTCTATTGTTTTCCCTCCTCCTCCACCACTGCCACCAGCACATTTCCATTGTTTTCTTCCACCACCACCACCACCACATTTCTATTGTTTTCCCTCCACCACCACCGCCACATTTCTAGTGTTTTCCCTCCTCCTCCTCCTTGTACCGCCATCCATATTTCTATTGTTTTCCCTTCACCACCACCACCACCACCACCACCACCGCCACCCCACGTTTCCATTGTCTTCTTCCACCACCACCACCACATTTCTTTTGTTTTCCCTCCACCACCACCGCCACATTTCTAGTGTTTTCCCTCCTCCTCCTCCTCCTCCTCCTCCTT